GGTGCCATCTGGTGGCAGGTACTTTGCACATCTTCTTTCAGGAAGCAGCTTGTTGTCCTGCATCTTATGGAAGGAAAATAGTTCTTCCAGAGAAGCCACAAGTCAGAGTGTCTCAACCTTAAATGGGCATGTAAACCATCTGCAGGTCTTCTTAAATACATATTCTGTTTCAATAGAACTAAAATGAGGGCCTCCCTGATGGTGCAAGTGGTTAAAACGCAACCTATGAAGCAGTCCACAGCCTCTGAGGCACGAGTTCAATCCCCGGCCAGGAGGTGACCCACATGGCATGGCAGACCTCTCCTGTCTCGCCCACTGCTCCCCTCAGCTGTGTATTTCAGTCAGTCTGCCTGTTCTGTTCCCCACTCTGTCTCTGGTGAATCCTCTCACCCCCGGCACCTCTGGCCTGTACCCCAGTTCTTATATACATAAATAAATAAATCTTGAGGGGAAAAAAAGAACTAAAATGAAACTGGGTTTTAAGGAGCAAAGAGCAGGGGGAGTGTTGTTTGCAGGGAAACAGAGAAATGGGGGCGGTGTCACTGACATAATAAGTGGACTTTGAAAAAATGATGCAAAAAGGATATTTGGAGATTTAGAAGAAGAGTCATACAATGCAATTCATACTACCTCTGTAAGTCACTTAAATAGTTATTTAAATTGCCTTTTGATGCTTTCTTGGATGTCAACTTGGTATTTCTTTTAATATAGTGCTCTGCTGAACCTGGTCATGACATAGCCACGTTTATCTAGGTTACATAAAAAGATCTGGAAAAATAAAGGGTGGTTCATGTTGTTCAGGGAAAGCAGAGAGTGTCTGTCAGAGGAGAAGACTTGGATTGCAGGAGCTCCTATAAGTTATGGGAACAACATGGACAAATCACAGAACTGTAAAAACACAAAGCATTCTAGGGGAGATGGGGAGACTTGAAGTTGCAAAGGTGGGTTGATACTGGTTTTATATTTTTCTACACATTAGCTAACAACATATCATGAGCAACTTCTTTATAAAAATTATTCCATACCTTCTTTCTTTATAAAGCAGGGACGGTCCTATCTATTTTGTTACCAAAGGGTAATCCAGGCTACCAAGTGTAACCTCACTAACCTGAAGTCTGGTACATAATTGATGTTTGATAAATAAATGAATGCAACAATTTCCAAACAACAGGTTCTGGCAACTAATTGTGTTATAGTTTCCCTGAAGGCTTGGGAACCCGGGAGCTGCCTGAGTACAGGGGCCATGTTTGATTCCCCTCCATCTTCTGTAGGGCCCAGCCTGGCACCTCGGTCTGGCAGGCCCTCAGTAAGTGCACAGCTCTCAGGGGGTGTTAGGAAGCACCAGTCATCCTCAGCACTGGCTCTGGGTCTTTAGCAGAAACTGCACCCCATAGTCTTGCCTTCTGATGTCCACATTTATTAAGCCCCAGCTGTTTGCTGTGTCCCCTTCTTCAGACCAACACACAACCTCTAAACCTTGGCACAAATCCAACCCAAGTTCTGGGAGAGTCCCCACCACAGAACCAGAAAAAAGCAAAACCCCTGAAAAACTGAAAACCCAATTTTTTACTCATATTCCCACCCTGAAGTCAGTATTTTAGTGTTGCTTCCAGATTCTGTCCATGATTTCATTGCAATTAGAATCATGGTATCTGTGCTATTTAAGGTTCTCTTCCTTCCAACTAACTCCATAAAGCATGGTTTAGTAGTCGAGAGTGCAAGTCTGTTCTCTGAGTTCAAATCCTCACTCTATTATATGCTCTTGGGTCACATAGCAAACTACTCTGTGCCTCAATTTCCCAATCTGTAAAGTGAGAAGAAGAATAAACAAAGGTCTACATTAAGACAAAATACTTATAACAATACCAGGTATGAGTTACTAACTCACAGCATTTTCTATGTTGCTGCATCATCCTCACAATGATCATTTTCAATGACTGCAATATAGTCTGCCAATTGTCCACACTAGTTGATTTCCTTAACCATTACCCGTCTGTCAGGTGTTTGTTATTTCTCGCGTCTATCTTATAAATAAGTTTGTCCAAAAGGGTTGAAGCACTTTAAAAAGGATTGTATACTGAAACTTTTTACTTTTTTACTGCTGCCTCGCCAGCCTTAGTGGAAAAACTATGCTTTTTATTTGTGCAACTTTAACAAGCCACACATAGTCCCACTTTTATTTCCTTTCCTTTGCAGTCATGGCGAATTAGCACTGCCAGCTGTCTATGCCTATGGCTTTAGCAGAGAATACTCCATATAAGGAATTGTTAATTATGTATCAAATAATGAGGGGAAAGGGACATTTAAGGGTCAGCTATAACTCCTGGGCTGGGGGAGCAAAGGGAAGACAGGGGGTGGCTGGCTGGAGTTTGAGTCTCTGAGGGGTGCACTATGAGACTAGCTCTGCAAGTAATAGACACTGAAAATTGTATTCAACTGCTGCTGCAGAGGTTAAAAAAAAAAAAAAAAAAAAAACGGAGGCTGTGGGTTTGCCAGATTTAGCAAAAACAAAATACCAGCTGCCCAGTTAAATTCAAATTTCAGGGCCTCCCCGGTGGCGCAGCGGTTGAGCGCTGGGTTGCGAAGCTGCCCGCGGCCTCTGCGGCACCGGTTCAATCCCTGGCTGCTCCCTGGCCACCGGAGGAGGGTCCCACATGGCGTGCAGACCTCTCCTGCCGCCCGCTGCTCCCCTCAGCAGTGTACTTAGTCCTTCTGCCTGCTCAGCTCCCCGCTCTGGCTCTGGTGAATTCTCTCACCCTCCCGCGCTTCTGACTGTACCCAGTGCTTGTATAAACAAACAAACAAATAAATTAATTAATTAAAAAAGAAAAAATTCAAATTTCAGGTAAGTAAGAAATAATGTTTTAGAATATTTACATTAATATTGCACGGGACATACTTACACTTAAAACATTGTTTATATAAAATTCAAATTTAACTAAGTGTCCTAGATATACCCCGACAATCTTACAAGGTGAGATGAGGCTGGGAAAATATTCTTTCCCCTCTCCACCTTGTCCAGGCTCTCAGGTGAGCTCTGGCACCCCCTTTTCACAAAGTAACACAGAAAGCTAGTTGCCAAAGCTGGAGAGTGATTTGCAAACTAAGGAGAGTGAGAAGTGTGGGTTTGAAGCTGAAAAACAATGATCTAATAATCAACACAGGTCACCCTTTTGACCACCCAGCATCCATACACACAATTCCACACATCCGTACCACACATCTGTACCTACACATCTGTACTTCTGTCACAACAAAAACAATGAACAACATGCCTATTAAAATGATGTCAATTCTCACCTTTTCCCCAAAATGAAGGCAACGTATCAATAGCCATTTTCTTCTTCCCTAGAAGATAGTCAGTCTTCCCATCTTTGGGCAGAATTAACTTCTCCTAAAACAGAGACCTCCAATCCTCTAGAGCACAAAGTCGAGGTGACGGGAAGCAAGAACTGTGCAAGCGAATTATTGGATGAAATGGTGACAGGAGCCATTGCAACTTCTTCACTCCCAGGCCTGTGTGATCTAGCTACTGGAGAAAGAGCACAGTATATTTTTGCTAAGTCAAATCCTATCTGTAGATGCTTCTCCACAGAATGTTACCTCAACTAAGACTTGGGTGAAACTGAAGGTTCCTGACATATGAATCCAGCTGCTCCTGGGTGAGGGGATACTTGCTAAAACCAGTGAATTTGATGGGCATGGAACTATTGCTATATTCCTATTCCTTTGGATTAAATTCCTTGATTAGAAAACTTGTTGTCTGGAAGATGTCAGCATCATGAATAGGCATTTCAAGCATCCACCAGTGATGGTGCTGGTAGAAGCACTGTAGACAGGGCAAGAAAAGTCTTTATCTAGAATATGTTTTATTCCAGTGAGGAGAAATCTTCCTGTCTATTATGGAAGGAGCCCAATACAATGATCCTGCTGCCAGGTGGATGTTCCTTCCAGAGAATGTGCCATAGCAGGAGCTCAGCGTTGGTATGGCTACTTTGTGCATAAACCTATCGCAAACCCTGTTAGCCTGGGAAAGATACTGGATGACACATACAGGACATGCCTTTTGATCCACTTGAGTATTGAAAAACCTGTTTTCATCCTGCCCCTTGGTGAGTTTTTATCAATATCTAGGGCACAAATATCTTCACACTCTACCTATTTCATGAGATCCATTCACACACCCTTTCGCCAGACTTCCTCATCAACAATCTTGCTATTCTAGTCTTCTCAAGTCCCTAGACATTCAGATAATCCATTAGCACCTGCCCTTGGATTAATGTAGGTGTAGCCATCTCTTGGACCAGAGTGGACAAACAAGTTTAGTACCTGAATTCAAATCCTTGGAAAGATTTTCTTCACTATTACCCTTTAAGGCTACCTTTATCAGTGCTGTGAGGTGACAAGCACACACTCCGAGTTGACACCAGCATGTGGCCCAAGTCTTCTTGGTCATCAGGAATTTCTGGTGAGACCTTAGGAGTGGATTTAGAGAGGAAGCCATGCTGCAAGAGTGAGTGATAAGTGAGTCTGAGCCCCTGCTCAGGCAACGTGTGCCTTGCAGACGCACCCCTTGGCAATGGCATGTGCCAGACTAAGCAGTGAGCTAAGCGGCTCAGATACGTGGCCATATAATGTCTCATGATTGTTTTTTATCCACTCATCCCTTAAGCAAACCATTCTCTGAAGGTCACACCTCTCTTTTATACTGTATTTGCCCTTATCCTTTCATTTCTGTATAATAGTGGTAGCAACTGATTCTCTGATCCTCTCACCTAGGGTAGAGCATCAATACAGGTTTTGTTTCTCAGCATAAGTTGTCTGCAAAATAGGACATGAATTTCCTCCCATGCCTACATGCTTGCAGGCCTGACTTTTATGGTGGATTTGGAAAGTTGCTTGTTTGGCCACAAGTTCAAAGAGTGGGGAACCCTTCCAGGGGTCTTCTCTTGGGGGTTAAGAACAGAGACCAGAGAATTAATTCAGTCCACTCTTTGCAGGCACAGCTTCTGTGGCAGTGGCGGGGATCCTGGCCGCTCTGCGAATCACCAAGAACAAACTCTCTAATCATGTGTTTGTTTTCCAAGGTGCAGGTGAGGTAAGTACACCAGGAGTTCTCTGCTATTGTTCCAGGAGGAGAACAGGAGGGGAGTGTCTCAAAACAATTTAACTGGGCTCCCTGGAGAAGGGGGTGGACGGACAGCATCAAGAAAGGAGGGACTGATAAAGGCTGAGAGCTGTCAGCGCTGTATCTGACACCCAAATGTGTGCTTCCTAGGCAGCCATGGGCATTGCCCACCTTCTTGTCATGGCCCTAGAGAAAGAAGGTGTACCCAAGGCAGAGGCCACAAAGAAGATCTGGATGGTGGACTCCAAGGGGCTCATTGTGAAGGTACTGTCAGTCAGGAGATGTTTCCTGGCATCCACAGTTATTGGAACTGAAATCAAGAGGTCTCAAGGGGCAAACTGCTGAGTCAGAAGAGTGAGCAAAAGGAGGGTAATGCCTTACCCGCCAAAGCAATAGTCATCCCACAGCAGCCTTCACTGCTCTTGTCCAAAAGTGGGGAGGTTCAGCCTGCACTAACCTCCGTCTACATTGGGCCCTAATTGTCCAAAAGCAGGATGTGCTCTCTTCCACATCCTTGCATTTTTCCTTCCTTCCTTCCGTGTCTTCTCTTTTTGCACATTCCTATTCTCAACCCTCAGCCCCTTCTGCTTCCTTCTTCTCTTCTGACTTAGCCCAGATTAACCTCTCCAAAAGCGTTCTCTGGACTCGTGTGTGTTAATTAATCTCCTACATCAACGTTTATGCACATCTCAATTCCCACATGGTAGGGCGGTTGCCCCTGTACTTCTCCACCCCCCCCCCAGGGGCCATGAATCCTGGATGTCAATATTAGGCATACGGTAGTGTAAAATATATCACCAGTGTGTGATGTAGGTGTGAAATAATGAGAGGTAAGTAGCCCGAAATTCGGCTATCATACAACAACAGTGAGAGGTGAAAAACCTGATATCAACAGAACCCAGGGGGTACGTGAGGCCATCAACCAAGAATAGCAGAGACCCTTCAGCAGAGAGGAACTCCTTTCTGTTCCATATGGAGCCAGATTATTCCCAGAATTGAGGCTTAGAGATTCCTCCTCACATCCCAGATCATTCAGGAGCGTAATCCAGCTACAGGGGGAGGCTGCCACACTCCCCTCTCGCCTGTCTTTCAACATCATTGTGCTCACCCCATGGTCCTCACCCCTCCTCAAAGATCTCTCAAAGTTAACTTCTTCACTTTGGTCATCATGAAGTCAGCTGGTGCCATGGACTCAGGAGAAACATTTATCTGCTTTCACCAGCCTTTTACCCATTAACTCTGAAGAAATGGAAGGGAGTTGGGGCCAGTGGGGTACAGCCGCTACAGCCTGTCCAGGAGTCAGTCTAGCATTATTCCGGGGACTTGATGACTCTAGTAAAATACATTCAAATTAACTCCCTGGCCCTGGTGATTCAGGCCCCCACCCCTCAAAGTGGTTTGGGTCCTGGAAATCTTGGGGCTACAAGTCTTCGTAAGACCTGGTACTTCCCAAGGAGCCCTGTGTCCTGCCCCAGGCAGACATGATCCTAGCAGCTCAAAGGAAGGCTTTCGCCACCTTGGGTTACAGAAACACACACAAGAAATCCTTAAGTTCCACTTTAGGTCTGTCAGGAAATTGGATATACAGGCTTCCAAGAGAGCAGAGCAAAGCCCAATGCAGGGAATGTTCTCAGAGTATCCAGATGTAGCCAGGCTCCGATCCGGCAGGTCCTGCCATGTTTTTCTTTCCCCACAGGGGAGGAGCCACCTGAACCACGAGAAGGAGATGTTTGCCCAGGACCATCCTGAAGTGAAGTCCCTGGAGGAGGTGGTGAGACTGGTGAAGCCCACAGCCATCATAGGTAGGAGGAGGGCGGCGAGCCCCTGCCCAGCCCCGCTAACCTTCTTGACCAGCAGGTGAAGACGGTGACTTACGAAGGCTGCCCCAGCAACCCGTGGAAACTCAGCCTTTCCCCCACCCCATGCCCAATTCCAAGCCACGAGCATGTGTCACAAGTGCACTGAAGTCATGGCCTACGGCACCCGCTGCGGCTATGCGGTGGGGAGATGCAGTGGGAAAGCGCAAGGCTGACCTCTAACCAAGACTCACCGAGCCCTGCTCCCTGCCATGGCCTCTCCCTCTGTACAGACAACATCCAGGATTGCCCCCATGGGTACATCTTAACTGGGGAGGGACCGGAAACTGACTGATGGTCCCTTGGGTATTAGCAAGGTCTCAAATAGCTCAAGCCTGAAGACCCCTTTCTCCTCCACTCCCCACCCTGAGGCAGGCGCCATCCCCAGGAACCGCCCTGTCATGCCCCGTTCCCCCACAGCCATGTCAGCAGCGGGCTGCTCATAAGGCAGGCAGCTCCACCACGCTCCTGTCCCTGCAGGTGTTGCCGCCATGGCGGGCGCCTTCACGGAGCGGATTCTGAGGGACATGGCCTCCTTCCACGAGCGCCCCATCATCTTTGCTCTCAGCAACCCCACCAGCAAGGCCGAGTGCACTGCGGAGAAGTGCTACCAGGTCACCGAGGTCAGTGGGGAGCCAATCCTTCCCAGGCTGAGAGGACTAGAGAACGAGAGCAGGCCCAGCCCGCTGAGGAGCAGTCAGGATGGGAAAGATGACCCATGAGCCCAGGTCACAGAGCCAGTCAGGAGTGGAGCTGACTGCCCAAGCCAGCTCTGCCCACCACACGTGCCCAGGGTTCCCCCAGAACGGCGCTGTCCCCAGACCCAGGCGTTTGAATCCCTAGGCCACGGGCCTTCCTCTCCTGTGCTGGGGGCCCGCCCAGAAGGTGACAGGTGGAAAAGCTTTACTTCACCTTTTAGCAGCCCGGTGACGGCCAGGTGACTCAGAGGGGGCTGAACTTCCCGGCCAAGAGAGCACTGCGCTGCTGGCACCTCCAGCGAGCTTGGCACAAAAGAGAGCCTGGCAGAGGGCCTAAGGCTCGGGAGGTCAGCCGAGGACAGTGGTGCTGCCTGACCCGTAGTCAAGCTCTCACTCCACTTGCTTTCACCCCCAGGGCCGGGGCATCTTTGCCAGCGGAAGCCCTTTCAAGAGCGTGACCCTGAGTGACGGCCGGACCTTCATCCCTGGGCAGGGCAACAACGCCTATGTGTTCCCCGGAGTGGCACTGGGAGTCATCGCAGGCGGGATCCGCCACATCCCCGAGGAGATCTTCCTCCTGACCGCAGAGGTACCAAGTCCCTGCGCTCCCCAGTGCCTGTGGGTGGCACCTGATCCTTACTGGGCCCCGAAGAGTCCTCCCTTTGTCTCCTCTGCCCACCTGCCCCACCCTGACAACAGATCCCCAAAGCACATAACCTCAAGCTTCTCTCAAAACATGCAAACAGCTCCTAAGGGGGCTAAGGAGTAATCAGTGGAGGGTGCGGCAGGAAGCACTGGCAGTGAGGAGCCCCACCTGCCCGGCTCCCTCCCTCCCAGCAGTGACCATCTGGGTGCCCAATACAGGAGATGCCACGAAAGCCACCTGAGACTATGGGGCCACTGACCCGGCAGATGAGCTCCCCCGGCCTGGGTTCTGAGCATGTCCCAGGGTAACCAGTAACATAAAGAGCCCCAGAGGACAGCGCTCCGTGAGGAAGGGACAGGTGGTGTGTCCAAGCCCCTGGATCTCGAGCGTAGACATGAGGATGTGAGGCGCACCTGGGCTAGGTGTCCTACTGGAAAACTCCCAGAAGGGCTCTGGGACATGGTGGAAACAATGAGAGAATTCTTACAGAATAACAACCCACGTCAGGAACAATGATTACTAATAACATGTATCGATGCTGACATTTATTGTTGCAACCAAATGCCAGGCACCTCCCGTTCATCCTCACTGAGGAACTGAGGCATAGAAATGACTGTGTTAGGAGGTTAAGCTAATCAGAGCTTTATGCAAGTATTAAATATATTTATACCCAATGAGCTCCTAAGGTTCTACTTTGATTTTTCACACCCACCTGCATTTCCCCCTCACCTTAGCACTAATGATGCCCCCAAACCAGCAAGACACAGGAATGGCTTCCACACAACCCTGTTCAGCCCTGATTCTCTGAGGAGCACCAGAACTGCCCCGGGCACCAGGTTCCTTTTTACCATGTCTTGACCTTGAAGCATCTGCTCTGCAAAGGCTGTGCAAATAATGTTAGCTGAAGGCTTTTAAGCCTTCTCTGGGCTGTGTGCACGCTAGCTGAGGCTTCTTGTTGCTCTTCTTTGAACCTCTGGTGGGAATATTTTGTGTTTGTATTTCTTCTCATTGCTCTCGTGGGCAGCGGTGTCCTGTGGCCATGAACAGGTGTTTGACTAGGAAGAGTCACTTCCTGCTTGCAAATTCCCCTGTTGTGCAGAAACACAGTTGCTACAGTTTCCCTAAGTAACCCTGAGACAACTGCACACCCATCCCCCTGCTGTGGGACAATTCAACAGTGTCATTTGTGATCAGTATCCATTAGTTACACAGGTCCTCTCTTTGCTCTAATTATTTTTTTTGAAAGATTTATTTATTTATGCATGCAAGAGCTGGGATGCAAGCCAGAGATGCGGTGGGTGAGAGGATTCACCAGAGACAGAGAGGGGAGGAGAACAGGCAGACTGACTGAAATACACTGCTGAGGGGCGCAGCTGGCGAGACAGGAGAGGTCTGCTGCACCATGGGGGTAGCTCCCTCGCAAGGGATAGAACTCGTGCTGCAATGGCTGTGGATAGCATCATAGTGCTGCGTCTTAACAGCTTGAGCCACCAGGGAGGCCCCTTTTCACTTTAATTTTAATCACTACTGTAGGCAAGACCTCGCCCCTCTATTTGCTGACAATTTGATTTCAAATTTCTTACAGGTTATATTTCGGAAAGGGTGCTTAGGTGATCTAAGCTGAATCTGATTTTCCCATGGAAAAATGAATGTCTCAGAAGATTTACATGCACTATCTCATTTCACTTTAAAAACTCTATTGAAGAGATATGGTGACTGAGCCTCCCTGGTGGTGCAAGGGGTTAACTCTCAGCACTAGGAAGCTCTCAGCAGACACTGCAGAATGAGTTCAATCCCTGGCCAGGGACCTCTGACCCACACGGCACAGCAGATCTCTACTGACTTGCCCACTGCTCCCCTCAGCAGTGTAATTCAGTCAATTTGCCTGTTCTGCTCCCCACTCTGTCTCTGGTGAATCCTCTAATCCCCCACACCTCTGGACTGTACCCCAGTTCTTTCATGCATAAATACATCTTTAAAAAAAGAGAGATACAATGACTATCCCAATGTTATAGGCAAGGGAAATGACACAAGGGGTTATGTAACCAGGCCCCCAAGGGTCATGGGCATGTGAGCGCCAGGCCGGACAATTGGTCTCCACACCTCAGCTCAGGGTCACCAATGCCCTGTGTCTCAGAACTGAACACAATGAACACACAGGCAGATGCAGCTCTTCACTCTTCCTCATGAGCTCCTATAGAGGAAGTTTCGTCATGGAAATCCTGCTTCCCTCTCATCAATCCATCTTCTATACCTCCAAAGAGAATCTTTCGAAATGTGGAGCAGACTATGTCTCTTTCCTCATTTCAGATCTTTTCCCCGAGACCAACAAGATGACGTCCAACTTCTCCGCACAATTTCTACACAAAGCTCTACTGCTGGACACAGTTTTCCTGTCCAGCTTCACTCTGAGCACCCGCTACCATTCAATGTTCTTTTTTTAATCTCATGCTCATGTTCTTTCTTGCTCTCTCACACCTCCCAAAATTTGCACTTGCTTTTCCCTCTCCTCATGCAAGAAATTCATGCTTTTTCCTTCAGGTCTTAGCTTAGGAAGCCATTCCTGTACACCACTGACTGGGCCTTCCTCTATGCCTATATGTCCCCTCTCCTTGCACTCCCCTCACATGGTTGTATGTGTTCTAGTGTTTAGTTGTCCACTGACACCAGCCTCCAGGAGGGAAAAGACTATGGCTTCTCCACCACAGATGCCCAACCCCTACTGCAGAGCTGGGCATGTGGAAGAGCTCTGGGAAAGACAGTGAATGGAAAGGAGTGGTGGGAATGTGAGAACAGGGCAGAGGAGGAGAGGTCCTGCCCTAATTTCTGCCAAGCTCCGAGGCAAGACCAAGTTGCTGTCTTGTCTATTTTCCTAGCTCTAGTTTTCAGAGAGAACCGTAGCTTTTCCCAAACTCAAGTCTGACACAAGAAGACTGGGTAGGAGCGGTGCAGAACCACCATGTAGGGACGGTTCTACCACTGGCTGAGCACCAGTGTGTGAGGCTGGAGGATGAGGCTGGTAGGAGAGGCGGCGCTCAGACAGGCAGTGGTGGGAGGGGCTGCTCCCAGAACGCTGTGCTTAGGACCTTCACTCAGGAGAGGCACAAGGCCCATCTGGGGAGCTGCTCACTGTTTCCAGCTTTTCTTCCACCTGGGACAAAGGCTGAAAGGAGATATGTCACAGAGCCCCGGAAAGAGACAAGACAGCCTCAAGGGCTCCATGAGGTTACGAGGCATGAGGTTAGGAGGCTGGAACTCAGAAAGTCAGGGAACCCCTATGCAACAGACCAGGCCAGTCAAGGGGACATTCCAGAGTTTTTACAAGCCACAGACTTAATGATTTTCCTCCAGAATTCACAAAATCTCGTTGTTTTAAGTCTCAGCCAGTCAGCACAGAAATGAGCTGTCCTTGCCTAAGTCTAAGCATCAAGCTCCCCTGGGGTGACTTGGTGGCAGAGACACCAGTGAGAACCGCTAGTCCTGCCCCTCAGGACAAGATGAGTCTCTGGGGTAATAGGTTGGGTTTGTTCTGGGAAAGCAGAAACTCAGATTGTTCTTGTCAGTTCTCTCTCTCTCTTTCTCTCCCCAGCAAATTGCCCAGGAGGTCTCTGAGCAGCATCTGTCCCAGGGGAGACTGTATCCACCACTCGGGACCATTCGAGATGTGTCTCTGAGAATCGCCGTCAAAGTAAGGGGCCTCCTCCCCTGCACTCTGGGCTCAGGGGTTAAACCATTTTTCATGTGGCATTAGGAAGCTGAAGGGGAGAAACTGGACACATCCCGAACTCCTTGGGCAGCACTGCAAACAACCCAAGCCTGGGTGACAAACTCTTGTCTGCAGTTCACTCCCCACACCCAACACCCACTCAAGCCAGTTCTGGGAAAACTTCTGGAGTTCTCTTCAAACACTAGGCAGAGAAAGGGCATCAAAGTCCACAGCTCTGTGGAACAGAATGTGGGTGGAATTTTTTCCATTGAGTCATAATTGCCCATTTATACAGAAAGGTCAGCTGGTGTGGCATCATGAGAACCGTAGAGTGTGGGCCCCAGCTCTGCCAGCCGGCAGCAGGGCCATCTACCCTAATCACCACTCCCCTGAGCCTCAGTTTCCTCCTTTTCCAAAGGGGCCAGTAACTCCTCTCTCCCAAAATTCTGGAGAATATAAGAGAGCACTGAGAGAACGCCATACTCAGTGCCTGCAGCCCAGAGCAGACACTCGTTCCTCTTGGTTCTCAGGGTGACTGGGCTGGGCCATGTGTAGTCGGGTTCATGGAATAGTCCAAGTAAAAATGTCACTCTAGAGACTATGCCAAGATGATGGGATTTCAAAGAATCAGAATATGGTTCAATACAGACTGGTCCAACATTGATAATTATTAGAGCATAAGGGCTTATTATCATTGATTATCTTTCTATTAGCATATATATTTTATAGTTTTCTATGATAACTTTTAAAGCTAATTACAGAAAATGCATTACAAAAAGTACATTCTCCCCATAAGTTTTCCAATGAAGGCTACTGAATGAACAATCCAGCACACAGACCATCTCCACCTTGTCCTTCCTTGGTGAGCTATTTAGATTCAAGTTTTTCTGATCATGTTGTTCATCCAGTTCAGCCCATATTTGGGGGGGGAGGAGAGAATATCTGGTATTGGTCACTTTGGACTGTTACCTAATTTTGTCCTCATACAATTCCAGAGAAAGGTCTCATTACCCCCACTTTAGAGATGAGGCGATTGAGGCTCAGCAAGGGCAATGTCGCTGCTAAGGACCCAGAGGCTGGTGGAAGAACACACTTGACCAGTAGATACTCCATTCTGGAACAACTTTTTGCCAAGACACAAAGCTGCACGTCCTTCCTATGCAGCGGTTACAGAGACCACCACCCATGAGAGGGATTCACCCCTCCTTCCACAGACTCCCAAGCAGTTTCCTCCTTAGATCCAGTCTTCAGTCAAACATGTTTTTCCCTAGGTCATCGACTTCGCGTACAAACACAACCTGGCCTCCTACTACCCGGAGCCCCAAGACAAGGAAGCTTTTGTAAGATCTCTGGTCTACACTCCAGACTATGACTCCTTTACACTGGACAGCTACTCTTGGCCCAAGGAAGCCATGAATGTCCAGACAGTCTGATGCAGCCTCGGGGGCTGGTGTGGGACTGAATGAAGCCCCAGTAACGCTGGAACTATAAATGATTTCCCAAATGACATCCTTGTCACTGTCTTTTTCCTTTGAACTCTCTGGTGTGAAGGGCGATGCCCAGGCACACCAGAAATGAGAGCCTTTTCCCCAAAGGCCCTGCAAACTCATTTTGTGTGATCCTCCTCTGATGACCTAGCCCAAAATGCCCCATCCATTAATTGCCACTATGGGCTAGACCTTACAGGCCAATGGGAACCCTGCCTACAACTCTGCTTTGCAGAGCTCAGGCCCCAGGCAGGAGATGAAATATGGATATAATTCATTTTGCCACATTGGAGAGAGTGGTACTTGCATGAAAGGCTTGCAAGAGAAAAGTTGGGGTGCTCTGAAAAAAGAGGATCCCTCCTCAGGTGACGCAATGCTCTGGGAGAGCAATGTTTGCGCTGTGTTCAAGAATGAAGGGTGGGTAGGAATGAAGGGGAGTTGAGGAATGTGAAGGCAGTCACTGTTCACAGAGCAGGCCAGAACGTCAGGGAGCTCAGTCCCTCCCGGAGGGATCCACACCCTGCAGGACTCCCGGTGTGAGGTCTGAGAGGCTGAAGGTCACTCACTGCCCTGAGTTGTTGACTGTTAGACATTCCTTTTTGGTTATTACTGAAATGAAAAGAGGAGAAATTGTGAGCGAGGAGGCTAGCAAGCAAATGGGCGAGAGGAAGAGAGTCAGGGAAGGAAAGAGCACCAGGGGGAGTTCCTGAAAAGACTTGATTTCAGTTCCCCAGCTCCGAGACACTCAATCTCATGCACCCTGCCCTCTCTGAATTAATTCAGCAAACAAGCAGTTTTCTTGTTTGGTTGGTTTTTTGGGTTTTGGGTTTTTTGGTTTGGTTTTTTTTGTTCATTCAGTTTTTTGGTTTTTTTGTTTTTTGTTTTTTTTTTTTTGAGGTGACATTGGTTTACAACACTGTGTATAATACAGAGGTACAGTTCCTGCCTCTTCAGGTGTATGTTGCCACACCACACCCACCACCAAAGCGCCCATTGTCCTCCGCCATCGTCTGTGCATCCCCTCCACCCTTCGCCCTCCACTCCCTCTCTCCCCTCTGGTGGCCTCAGTTCTGCTGTCACATTTCAAGGGTCTGGTTTGGGTTTGGTTTTGTCTAACCCTTTGCTGTGTTTCTCTATATTCCATGTATGAGTGAAACTCTCCAGTACTTGTCTTTCTCCTTCTAACTTATATCTTATAGAACAGCATCAGTCTTCTTCCACCAGTGTTTCATAGACCAAGTTTGGACATAGCCTTCACCGCTGACATGTCCAGAAGTGCTCTACCACCATGGAAGGGACCCCGGGTCTGAGGAGAAGGCTGCAGCCCCCTCAATCTGGGACCCTGCTAAGTTGGTAAGACCTGTTAGGATGGCAACTTTGGCCTCTAATTTCATTGTATAACACAGGAAACACCCATTGCCAGTCAGCCTCGGGTTCTATCCTGCCCGTGAGAGGTACGAAATGCCCACCCCTCAAGCACAGACCAGGACTGGGACTAATTAGCAGACACACCAAGCACCCTGTGCCCAATTCTTATTCTTCCAGCATCTTCCTTAGTGCTTGTGCTCAGTCAAAAATATCTCAAGAAAACATCCCTATTCTATGATCTCTGGAGGGAATGGGAATCTCTGCAGAAGACTTGAGGGACTCTGAAATCTGAACATCCTACTTCCTGTCCAACATCTTCCTCTGTACTCCAATTATACTTTCTTTATACTCCATGTAATAGAAAAGAAACATAGTAGAGAAAATCAACAAAACTAAAACATTATTTCAAAATACCAACAAGATTAGCAAATTTAAGATATATTGACCCAGACAAAAAGAAAGAAGACACAAATTACATTTCCTTTGTTCCAGCCACACTGAGAGCCTTGCTGGCACTTTCTGGCCTGTGCCCTTACACATGCTTGGTCTCTCTCCACCTGGAAATCCTTCCCCACCCTCTTCACCAGTCAAGTTTCAGTTCACCCCAGCTTCTGCCTGGTGACAACATTCATCCTGAGTGTTCAAGTGCAGTTGGCTCAATGGACTCTTCCTGCCTCTCCCAGAGTTAATAATTAAGTTAGAAATCAACAACAGAAAAAAATGGAACTTCCCAAATATTTGAAAATTAAACACTACATCTCCAAATAACTCCTGGTTCAAAGAAAAAAATCATAAGATTTTTTCAACATTATATACATTGATTAATACAAAATAAGGAGTAGTTTAAAGTAGTGTTTAGAAGGGAAATTTAAAGCTTTCAATATCTGTATCCAGAAAAAAAAAAGAAAACTCTCAAAGCAATAATGTAAACTTCCTCTTTAAGAAACTAGAAAAAAAAGCAAACAAATCTAAGGCAGTCAAAGTTTAGTGCAAAAATCAATAGACCTATAACAAGTAAAGAGATTTAATTAGTAATTAAAAATCCCCACCCAAAAAGTGCAAGCTCAGATGTTTTTATTGGTAAGCTTTTTTCAAGTACTTAAAGTTTAAATAATACCAATCTTTCACAAACTTTTTCAGAAAACAGAGGCGGGAACACTCTCCAAATCATTCTATGACACTGGTATTACAGATATCACAATGAGATAAAGACAGCACAAGAAAAAAACTACAGTCCAATAACCTTCACAAGTATAAATGTAAAAACCCTAAAGAAAATATTGTAAGCCATATCCATAAAATAAAATTATTACTTATACACAACTGGGATTTATTGCAGAAATGCAAAGTTATTTTAACACTTAAAAATTAATGAAGTCCATAAAATTAGTGAATAAAGTCCATAATATTAATGAAATGAAAGACAAAACCACTAAATCATGTCAACAGATGTGGAAATGACATTTGAAAAAAATCCAACATCCATTTGTGACAAGACTTTCAACAGCTAAAGAACATCTTAACTTCATTTAAAAAAAGAAAGGAACAACTACATCATACTTAATAGTGAAAGAATAAATCTTTCTCCCTAAGATCTGGAACAAGGCAAGTTGTTTTTACCACTTCTGATCAATGAGGGCCTACTCTGTTTAATTTAGAAAGAAATAAAAAATCATTCAGATTGGAGAAGAATAGTAAAACCACCTTTATTCACAGATGACATAGTCCTGTACGTAGAGAAAGTCAAAGAATATAATAAAGTCTCTTTCTCCCCTCAATAAATTAGTTTAGAAAGGTCATAGAATGCAAGCTTAATATATAAAAATCAATTGTACTTCTGTATATGAGCAACAAACAAACTAAAAATAAAATTAAAACTATATTCACAACACAATCAAAAAGAAAAAAAGTACTTATAAATTTAAGAAGTGCGAATCTTCTCCATCCAACTGATAAGGGACTGGTCACAAAGATATACAAAGAACTCACAGTACTCAACAAAAACAAAATAAACAATCCAGTCAAGAAATGTGGAGAAGAACTTAAAAGACATTTCTCCAAAGAGGAAATGCAAATGGCCAACAGGCATATGAAAAAATGTTCAACATCCCTTATCATCAGGGAAATGCAAATCAAAACCACACTGAGATACCACCTTACACCAGTAAGAATGGCACAGATCAAAAAAAAAAAAAAAACAAATGTTGAAGAGGATGTGGTGAAAAAGGAACTCTCCTACATTGCTGGTGGGAGTGCAAACTGGCCCAGCCACTATGGAAAGCTGTGTGGAGGTTCCTCAGTCTACTAAAAATGGAGCTACCATACAACCTGGCAATTCCACTTCTAGGGATCTGCCCAAAGGACACAGAAATACTGTTTCAAAAGAGCACCTGTACCCCTATGTTTATTGCAGGACTATTTACAATAGGTAAAACCTGCCAACAACCCAAATGCCCAAAAATAGATGATTGGATCAAGAAGATGTGGTACATAGACACAATGGAATACTATTCAGCAGTCAAAAAAGATAAACTCATGCCATTAGCAGCAACGTGGATGGAGCAGAAGGAATTATGCTCAGTGAAATAAGCCAGAAGGAAAAAGAAAAATATCGGATGGGTTCACTTATAGCAGGAATATAGGGAAACCCAATAAGACATCAGTGTAAAAAAATAATAATGGCACAAAACACAACAAAGCAAAACCGGATAATTATAAATCCGAGACATCCTGCAGGGGAGGATGCGGAAGAGGGATCTGAGGGAGGGAGGGAGGAGCACAGGGGACTGAGGTGATGGTGCCCGGGTGCATTGGGGAAGGAAACTCTATGGGGACTGTACCTGAGGGGGTGGGGGGAAGCAAATATTGTTTAAAAATGAACAATGATGTAAAAAATAATTACAAATTAAATAAAATCTATAAAATCTATAAAGTTATGATGATCAAAACTGTATGGTCATGTAGATTAATGAAATAGAATTGGGAATTCACAGATAAGTGCTTACATTTATGGTAAATTAATTTTTCCACAGAACCACCAAGATAATTCAGTAGGGAAAGAATGTTCTTTTGAATTGGGAATGTTTTTTTGATGCTGGGACAACCAGATATCCATATGCAAAAAAATTTAAAAAGCAGAAGAATTTAGACATTGACAATACACAGAAATAAACTTAAAATGAAGCACAGACCTAAATGTGAGAGCTAAAACTAACATTTCTAGAAGAAAATATTGCATAAAAATATTTTTAACGAGTGAGGAGTGTTCTTGGGTACATATTTTTATTGAAGGAGCATTGGTTTATAACATTATATAATTTTCAGGGGTACGGCCTCCCAAGGCATCAGTATATACGACATCAGGTCACCACTGAAAGTCTCTTATCATCCTTCGCCATCTGCTTGGCCCCTTTTTCTAACTTACTCACCTCTCTTCCCTCTTCCTGTCTGGTAATCACTCTTTTGCTCTTATAGACTCTTTTTTCTTTTGTTTTGCTTGTTTATTAGTTTTGGTTTTTTGCTTTTTCCCTATTTTTAAAACAAATTTCCCAGTCATCCACATGTCTATAGAACTTTGGGAGGTTTCACACATCCAGCATGCACTTGCCTCACTCACCCTGAGTTCTTAGATACAATTTAAAAGCAAGATTCAAAAGAGAAAAGATCGATAAATTCTAATTAATCAAATTTCAAAATGTTTGCACTTTGAAACAC